GCACCGTAAGTTTGTCCCTTGATCCGGATATGTCTGGTCCCATCTTTCGCAACCCTGTGTATCAGGCCAAGCTCATAATGAAATGGATAAAGACTCTTCTAGTGTTCTTAGGGTGGAAAGAAGGCCTCTAAAATAGTGTACTTCTATAATAGAAAGAAATGGCGTGTTTCAAAAATAATAAGAAAAGTTTTAGAATCCCACTAAATTAATTGCAAATTTACAGTTTTGAACCTTGTTTATCAAAGCAATTGCTGTTAGATTTTATAAATTAATTTCTAAATAATTTAACAAACACTCAGTTCTTAGAATAACTTTTCTCTATTCTCTTCTGAATAATTTCATAATAATTCTTTATTTTTATTTTTAATATTAAATTTTTTCAATAATATTCATTTTAAAAAATGAAAACGAAAGACACTATCTTACAAATAAACCAGTTGTAAAACAGGTGAATTGCTAAACCGGAACTAATGAATTATTTCTGATGCAATGCCGTTTTTTTTACAGGCATTTGGCAGGAGATGCCAGTATATCTTGCTACTGATGGGCAAAAAAAAATAGTGTTTTATATTTGTGAACAAATTAAACAAGTAGGCTACCAACCTTTAAGGTAATTGAGCGAACGAGAAAAAATTAAATTCAATCTTACTTTCAAATGATTTATTTTATCATTTCTTTATACAACTGCTCTTTATATGACAGTGTCCGTATAGTTTTACAGATGTTTAATTATCTCTCAGATAAGGGATTCTTAACCTTGGAGTCCATAGACTCCTGGGGGTCTGTGACAGATTTCAGAGAGTTAATGAACTTGGATCATATTTATTTTCAATAACTTCTAAATATTGTTATCTGACGGATGAGTGAGCGAGGCGGTTAATGCTTCAGCTTACAGCTCTGGGGGAACCTGGGTTCTACTCCGGTCATGCAATATCAGAGATTTTCATGGGCGGTCTGTCCCCGTCCCGCGCTACTTGCCGCTCCATTTTGAGCCTCCTTGAGTGTCCACAAGGAGGAAGGAATTAAAAAAGAAAAACTCCTTGTAATTTAGTGCGTTAATAGAACATAGATATCACAATATTCAATATATCACAAATTTATTTACATTATAAAGATTTTAATGACTCTATTTTAATATGATTGATTTCCTTTGTAATTCCATATATTTTATTATATTGTTAGAAACTTTATTCTGAGAAGGGGGTTCATAAAATGCCAAAGGGTACATGGCATTAAAAAATATTTTTTTAAACTCTTTCCGCTCTGTGAGCACTAAGAGGGTCTTTTTTTTAGAGAGAGCCCATTATGGGTTCTGCCGGGATCGTATTGAAGCGGTTGAGTGGTGAAGAACCATAAAAAACAATTAAGAATTTGAGATAAATGAAACATAATGTATTATTGTTAAGTAGGTACAAGCAACGTGAAATTAAAGTAGCCTTTTTATCTTAATACTGACTGATAAATGAATAATAAGAGTTTATTTTTACCATTTCTTTGTGAGTAACTCTGAATTTAACAGTTCTTTCTTGAATATTGTTACATCATACCGGAAATTCCGAGAAATGACTGCCTGAAATCTTCCTTCTAACAGTTTCGTGGTAAAGTTTTAACTCTGTATCTTATTAATTGTAAAGAATTTTGAACTTCTCTTATCACGTAACATCTAGAATATATCCAGTTACGTGGAAATATCAGTGAGCAAGAAAAGTGGGAAGTAGCAATGAGTCTGCAACAATTTTAGTCATAGTGCTGGAAAGATTCTTATCAATTAAAAGATTTTTATTCATTATTTTTTTACGATATAATTCACAAAAGTTAGGAAATTTCCATCATGGGTTCGGCCGGGCGCGCAATGGAGCAGCCGAATGATGAGGGACGGGCCCAATATATCCAAGACAGATCGTGTCGAAAAATTACTGGAGTTGCCCAGAGCGGTAGGCTGGCACCTTAACTGCCTTGATCATCCGGCCGTCTATATATAGGAATTGAGAGAAATGAGATGGGGCCCTGTCTAGTCACGGATTTGAGGCCTACTCTTTTCTGAAAGCTTACAATGTATGAGTAGGACTCAGAAACGAATACGGGTGATCCATTTCATTGGACCCCATCCCTCACCACCCGATCGCTTCATTCTGAAACTAACCAAACCTATGATGAGCCTGATAAAAAAGGTCTTTTTAGTGCTCAAGGACAGAAAGAGTAAAAAAACGTGATGTGTAGGAATGAAATCAAAAACACACATACCAAAAAAAGCAGATTTTGCACTATTTATCAAATGAAACAGTAATTTACATCATGATTTATATTATAATAAATTTTTCGGTTTATCAGTTTCTATGTCTAAGATTCTGTTGATCTTGATGGCCCTGCAGGCCTTCTCTATCTGGGCTCGTAAATATATAATTATTATAGATACTTGTGTAACACATTATTAATTAATGTGTTCGAGTTTTACCTTTTCCTTTAGAATACATCTAAATTCGATATATATATAAGACGAATTGCTGACAAATACAATGACTTTGATAGTGGAATGAATAAAATTAATTTATAAAAGTCCTATTTAGTAAGGGATTGGATTGAATTCTTAATTAATGAGAAGCACTTGCTTATACGACTGCACTGTACATAGTACAGTCGTATAAGCAAGTGCTTTTCATTAAGGAATGATTGGTGTTAAGATTAATGATTACAGACAATTTCCAAGAGTAATTAAAATAGTTTTAATTATGCTTGGCCTTAATATTGTCCTTTATAAACACTCTTGATTCGCTTGTTTGATAGGAAAAGGCAACGTAATACGAGAACGATCTGTCAGGAAAGATGCTTCCCAGAAGGACTTTCTATGGGCAAATGACCAGTATTTAGTGATAGAAACAGTAGAAAATCCGGAAAACTGCTGCGACTAGTTCGTTCGTCATGCGATAACCCTGGATCAACTGCCAGTTTTCAGTGGTTTTTATCCACTCATCGATTCGATCACTGGTGGCTAGCTTGATCCTCCTATTTAGTATTGCGATTAAAAAAATAGCCACAGCAATTGTAAGGGATAGGCCTATATGTATTTAAGTCCAGATAGAGAGGCCAAGAGCACCCTTTAGATTATTTCCGGGTAAAGAATTTATCTGTGTTCCAAAATTAGCCTTTTATATAATTAAAGATATACATATGAAGGTAATACTTCAAATAAAATAAGTGATAGGATGATGTAAAATCTGATTTTTTAAATCTATTTTACTAATTTCATATGCTACACTGTTTTCCTGCTTATAATATTTTACATAGAAAATCGTTCCGTTTAGACAGGTTTAAGTTTCATAGATAGTCTGTTTTAGATAGGTTCTATTTATTTATTTTAGAAATTGCGGTATCTGTATAATATACAGCAGGTAATATCATCATTAATAATAAGATATTATTCATTTATAAATATATAAATTTAATAATATACAATACATGTTTTTAATTAAAAATTTATTTGCAGTTTTAATTAAATAAAATTATATAAATAATTTTTTATATAGAGATGAAGCCTGATCAGTCACAAATCTAGGGCCTCCAGACCGTCGACAGGGGGAAAGCTAGGGATATTTCCCCGAGCCCGGAGAAACTTAGGGCCCTTAGTTGTTTCCACCCCTACAAATTAATGTTACTTTTAATAACAAAACAAAAATAAAATCTTTAAAACTACTTTTTATTAATAAAGAAACATTCTAAATATTTTATTTGTTTGAAAACAATGGCAAAAAGGCCCGCATTGACCTCGGGTCCCATACAAGCGTTCGGCTGTCTTGTGGCCCCACTCTTCTGCGAATCCGTAGAAATATAATTTATTAATAAAACAAAACAAATAAAAACGGATTTTCTTATATTTTTTCATATTATAAAGATTAAATTTTAGGGATCCCTTCGTCTGGAGACCTTATCAAATAACCGTGCTAGTCCCCTGTATCTGAACGTGATAGCAATATACAGCATTAAACTGATAAAATCGGGCTCCGACTCGGACGTCATATTACGGGGACATCTATTTAGATGTTACAAACGTGAAGAAAACCCGGAAAACTCCTCGTGGCTCGTTGGCAAGGCGCGAACCCACGACTTAATATTTGGTGGTTTTATTCACTCCGTTATTGGATTATGCCTTTATCTGAACGAACGTGGTGATATTTGATATGCTCATAATGGAGCGGATGCAATGTGATGGGACACACTTTATAATAAGTCATGCTAAGTTTCCGTTTCCGGTGTTGAATTATTCCGAAAGTCAATGTTATACCGTGTAAAAAACAAGTGATTTTTAACACTATTTTCCTATAAACTGGAACATGTATAGAGGTACACATCTGTAGAAACACTTAAGATTATTTTAGAACTATACAGATCATATTCGGGACAGTTCAAAACATATGTTTTAGTTCGAAATTTCGATGTCGATTCTTGTCTGAAAATGACTTTTTAATTCGGTTAATAAATATATCTTTTACAAAAGGAATGAATAATTATTTATTTATCACTTGTAGAGTAAAATCCAATAGTTTAATTATCCGCGAATCGCTGAATATGTGACTGACAAGGATAAGAATCGAGTAGGTTGAGGAAGGATTTCAGCCTGTTCAAACGTAGACCCAGACCATCGAAAACTCGGTGTGTGGCTCGGAGTAGAGTGACTCTCTTTTGTTCCTTAGCAAGCACTTTTTTGTTTATTTTTTATGTAAAAATAACATTAATTTATAGGGATAGGGCGCCTAAATTTTCTCCGAATTCGGAAAAAATTCTCTAACTCTCTCTCCATCTCTAAAGCGCTAGAATTCTTACTTAGTAAGCCTCCTTCGAATTGATCAAATTTNATTATAATAAGAAAGGAAATGTACATTTTATGATAATTTCTGGTTATATTTCTCTTGTATATAGACTTATTTCAGTTTTGAAAGTCTGTTTACATTCATTCATTGGATCTTTAATATAAATTTTACTATAATTTCAATCAATATACTTACCTAAAGCAACCGCCAATGGAACAAATATTGTGGAAAAAGGTAAAAGGAATTCAGGTAATAACTCTTCAGGTATGGCAGCTAATACTAAATAGCCGAATGCATCAGCAACTATCATCATTCCACAATATCTGACGGTGCTGGACGGTGGAGTAGGATATTTTCTCATTTTATAAACTAATTTCTCGATATAATACGAATCTCCATTAGCTTCTTGAACGTATTCAGGAATTCTCCACAGATCCCTCAACCATCCTAATCCAAAATAACCCCCAGCAAACATTACCCATACTAAAGCTTGTTCGTCTCGACCCAAGTACAGATGATGCAAACCCCAAAATCCGCCTATTAACCACAGAATATATGTTAACAAGAGACTTTTAGCCATCGCTTAACTAAAGTACAATTTGGACGGATGAAATAACCGCAAGTAAACAAAACAGCAAACACGTTTCTTTTTTCCGCGAATCAGAAATCGTCGTCGACGCCCCCTACTGGCTATCGATTATTTACTTTAATTGATAATAACCTGATGTATTTACTTAAGTTTTAAAAATAATAAATAAATAATAATATATATTATTATTATTACTTTAATTTCTTTTAACTCAAACTTAAGCATTTTTAACAAATTCAAAATATAATAAAAAAAACAACCATTAAATTACAATTTAAGCCGAAGACCAAGACATCTAATCAATTAATATTTAATTTTTTCTTTTATTTTTATCTTCTTGTTTTAGCTGAAATAAAAAAATGTCTTTCTGTTTATTTTTTTGTTGAATGTTCTATAAGTTAGTCAAAGAATCAACGGTGCAATTGTACTAAAATTTTCACTGTAGCTGTCTAGGTAAGCGCTATTTAATCACATACGTAATTAATATATATATATATATATCTGGTGAATGAGTGATTTTAGCCAGTGTCTGGCTCATTCAGTCAGTATCAGGTCCATTATTC